TCCCTCCTCCCTTCCCCCCTCTCTCTCTTTCTTTCTCTATCTCTCTTTTTCTTTCTCTTTCTTTGTGTCTCTCTCTTTCTCTTTCTCTCTGTCTCTCTCACTTTCTCTCTGTCTCTCTTTCTCTCTCTCATTCTATCTCATTCTCTCTCTCATTCTGTCTCTTTCTCTCTCTCTGTCCTCTTTCTCTCTCTCTCTCTCTCTTTCTCCGTCTGACGGAGCGTCTTTCTCTCTCTCTTTCTCTCTCTCTCTGTCACTCACTCTCTTCCTCTCTTTCTCTCTGTCTCTCTGTCTCTCTCTGTCTCTCTCTTTCTCTGTCTTTCTCCCCCCCCCCCCTGTGTCTCTCCCTTTCTGTCTCCCTCTTTCTTTCTCTCTCTCTGTCTCTCTCTCTCCCCTTCTTCCTCTCCTTCTCCCTCTCCCTCCCCTCTTCCCTCCCCCTCCCTCCATGACAGACTGACAGTTAGTCTCTTCATCCCCCCAGGCTAACAGTAGAGGAACACATCTGGTTCTACGCCCGCCTCAAAGGTCGCTCCAACGAGGAGGTTAAGAGAGAGCTGGATCAGATGCTCAATGATGTTGGCTTGGCCAACAAACGGAAGGCAACGTCCACAAATTTGTCTGGTGAGTTTTTTGTTCATTGGTTTACAATCTCAGGCAAGACAGGGAGACAGAAACAACAGAAAGGAAAAAAAGAAGTAGGACCCACAAGTGGCTTTCGTTTTTTAGTTTCAGTATGACTTTTACATGGACTGGACACACTTTCAGGAAGTCAAGCAGCTTCATAACAAGGAAAGTGTAAAATATCAAGGGGAAGACCATGTGGAACCTGGAGGAGAGTCACAGAAATGGATGTACAGAAAAGTGGGAAGACATGGAGTGGCACCTAGTGACTAGCCCGGGATAGGGAAAGGTGGAAAGTGCTTGTTTGTGGCCTATATCCTGATGCAGGATGAGATAGGCAATGGTGATGATGATGATGACTTTTACAGCTCTTGCATATGATTAGGTTATATAAGTGTTGAAGATTAGAAGTGTTACCAGAGATTAACATACAAAGAAAAGGAGGAGAAGTAATGATGATAGCTGTATGAAAGGAAAGAAGGAGCAAACCATCCACTTACTTTCTCAGTGCCTTGTAGTACTGTGAAATCTGGAAAATTATGCCCAATGAACAAAGCGAAGGCAACATCTTGTGGGTTTGTTGCTCATGATAATTGTTTCACCTCTCTACATTTCTGTAGTACTTTGTAATTTTGAAAAAGAAAGTTTTTTTTATAGTTAAAAAAGACAGAGTATTCTCTTTATTTCTTTCTGTACGCTATTTATTATTATGATTGTTAATATTATTATTATTATTATTATTATTAATTTTATTAATATTATTATTATCTGATCTTATTTTATATTATCTATCTTATCTTATGTTACCTTACTTTATCTTATCTTATCTTACTTAGAAAATAATTTATTCCAATCGACAAATGTTTTCAGGTGGCATGAAGCGCAAGCTCTCTGTGGCTATTGCCTTTGTGGGCGGGTCGAAGACGGTGATCCTTGACGAACCGACCGCCGGAGTGGACCCCTACGCCCGCAGGTCAATCTGGGAACTCCTGCTCAAGTTCCGCAAAGGTGAGGGGAACGACCGACTCCTTTTTATTGTGGAAAAAAAATCTTTACTTGCTTTGACGCCACCCCTCACAGATCTGCTGTCTCTTTGTCTTTCTTCTTCCTCGACATCCTTGCCTCTCACTTTTCGTCTCACTTTCACTTTCTCCCTCCCTTTCACTTTCCTTACCGCCTTCCTTCTCTGTCTCTCTCTCTCTCTCACCCTCTCTCTGTCTGTCTCTGTCTGTCTCTCTCTCTCTCTCTCTCTTTCTCTCTCTCTCTCTCTGTCTCTGTCTCTCTTTCTCTCTCTCTCTCTCTCTCTCTCTCTCTCTCTCTCTCTCTCTCTCTCTCTCTCTCTTTCTTTATAAGATATTTAGGCCTGCTACATGGTAGACACGGTGTTTAGCCAGGTATTGGTGCATTTTGTAAATCTAATCACAGATTCACATTCAGTAATTTTTTTTAAATAGAAAGAAATCTTTGCGTTTTAGAGATAGTAGTATTTACAAACAGGTCTAATTATAGGCAACTGGTTACTAAATCCAGTGCTACTATGTGTCCCTGAGGATCCGAAACTGTGCTTGGTGAAGCACGAACTAACCCTGTGGTGTATGGCTCTTTTCGTCTATGCAGACGTTCAATTTAGCTTAAGATGGTCTCAAGGTTGTCTTCATGCAGCCTATCTCATAGCTAATCCTTCCTATGTTTGAAGCGCAGATTCTGTCGCAGTTCTTGAATGTCAGTGACTTAGATCGAAGCTCTGTATTTCCGCTGTTTTCCTTTAGTTGTTGGCGCTTCTCAACCTGGTTGTTTCTAAGGCTGCTCTCTAGCATTAGAGTTCTTTCCTTTATCATTTTCCTCCATGTTTTCTTGTCCTCGGCTATTTCTTCCCAGATGCTAACATCTACTCCAAGCTTGGAAAAGCTGTTTCTGCAGGTGTCTTTGTACCTCAGTTTTGGTCTTCCTCTTGATCTCTTTCCCTGGGCAAGTTCTCCATAGAGAAGTTGCTTCGGAATCCGGTTGTCATCCATTCTCTTGACATGGCCCAGCCATCTCAATCTTTTTAAACACAGGATAGTTGTCATGCTCTGGAGGTTTGCCCGTGCTAACACTTCTACCTTTGTAACCTTGTCACGTCACAAAATGTCTAAGATCTTGCTGCAGCATCTGAGACGGAAAATGTCGAGGACCCTGTGGTAAGAAGGGGTAAGACAACATTCTCTCACACTTGATCTCTGTCCATCAGATCGGACAATCATCCTGTCCACCCACCATATGGACGAGGCGGATGTTCTCGGGGATCGGATCGCGATCATCCAACATGGGAAGCTCCGCACAGTCGGGTCCAGTCTGTTTCTCAAGGGCAGGTTCGGCAGCGGCTACTACCTCACGCTGGTCAGACAGGACGGTGGGGATGGCAGGTGAGGTGGTGTGTGTGTGTGTGTGTGTGTGTGTGTGTGTGTGTGTGTGTGTGTGTGTCTGTTTGTGTGTGTGTGTGGGGGTATATGGAAGGTGAGATGGTGTATGTGTGTGTGTGTGCGTGTATGTGTGTGTGTGTGTCTGTGTGTGTGAGTCTGTTTGTGTGTGTGTGTGTGTGTGTGTGTGTGTGTGTGTGTGAGGGTATATGGAAGGTGAGATGGTGTATGTGTGTGTGTGTGTGTGTGTGTGTGTGTATGTGTGTGTGTTTCTGTGAGTGTGTATGTGTGTGTGTGTGTGTGAGGGTATATGGCTGGTGAGGTGGTGGAGATGGTTTGTGTGTGTGTGTGTGTGTGTGTGTGTGTGTGTGGGTGGATGTGTGAAGGTATATGGAATATGAAGTGGTGTGTGTGTGTGTGTGTGTGTGTGTGTGTGTGTGGTTTATGTGTGTGTGTGTGGTGTGTGTGTGTGTCTGTGTGTGTGTGTGTGTAGGTGAAGGTATGTGACAGGTGAGAAGGTGTGTATGTGTGTGTGTCTGTGTGTGTATGTGTGTGTATGTGTGTGTGTGTGTGTGTGTGTGTGTGCGCGCGCGTGAGTGTGAGTGGGTAGGTAGGTGGGGGAATATGACAGGTGGGATGGTTTGTGTGTGTGTGTGTGTGTGTGTGTGTGTGTGTGTGTGTGTGTGTATGTGTGTGTGTGTGTGTGTGTGTCTGTGTGTATGTGTAGGTAGGTGAGAGTATATGACAGGTGAGATGGTGTGTATGTGTGTGTGTGTCTGTGTGTGTATGTGTGTGTGTGTGAGTGTGAGTGTGTATGTGTGTGTGTGAGGGTATATGGAGAGGTGGTGGAGATGGTTTGTGTGTTGTGTGTAGGTGAGGGTATATGACAGGTGAACACATGAGAGTGTGTGAAATTTGAATGTTGTGTGTAGGCAGGGGTGGTGCTAGGTGAGGGCCAAAGGGACCTTGTGCCCTCTCCCCCTCCCCCCCCCCAACTTCCCTACTCTCTTATCCGATGTCCACTCTTATCTATATTGTAGAAAGTGCACAACAATAGATTGTACTTTTCCCAGTGTCATAAAGCCCTTACAATACATGTCCAAAGTGCCCAGTGCAAAGGCTCAGCCTTCAATGACTTGAATTCATTGAATGCAGAAAAGTGTGTGTGAAGGTTTTAGAAGGGGGGGGGGGAGTTCACTTGGCCAGTGTTTACCATCTCGATTCGCAGCATATGCAATATCTGTTTTTAAGTTTTGAAAGGTTGACAGCTATGCGTTTAACAATCATTATATATGATCGTCTAATCTAACAATCATTCTGTATGATCATCTCATCTCACAATCATTCTATATGACCATCTCATCTAACAATCAATATATATTATGACCATCTCAATATAGGATCATCTCGTATAACAATCATTTTATAGGATCATCTTATCTAACAGTCATTAGTGGGTGGTTGGCGGGTGCTCTGGTGTGGTTTGCTCCTTCTTTCCTATATATCTATCATCTTGATTGCCCCTCTTTCTTTTTTGTGTTTGTTAGTCTCCTGTAACACCTCTAATCTTCGGAACTTATATGACCTTATTGTGTTGCAAGTGCAGTAAAACTCTTATGAAAAGAAAAAATAACAGTCATTATAATTATATGATCGTCTCATCTTCTCGTTTTACAGCTCTTCGGCTATGGATTCTGTGTCTATGAGCAGCCGACCATCAACTGCTGCCAGTGTGCGCTCTGTGGTGGACGTCCAGGTAAGACTCGATATGCTGAGAGTTAACCTTTACAGGCTTATAAGATATGTATATATCATGTATATATTGCCCCTCACAGATTCTCAATCCATTTGGCCCAGTCGTTTATATTTTCTTCTTGAATTCTCTTTCCCCTGGGTTCAGTCATGTATATTGCCCCTTACACATTCTTAATTCTTTTGGCCCAGTCGTGTATATTTTCTTCACGAATTCTCTTTCCCCTAGGCCCAGATGCATATTTTTCTCAGGAATTTTCATTACCCCAGCCCCAGTCGCGCATATTTCCCTCAGGAATCCTCATTCCCCCAGGCCCAGTCGCATGTATTTCGTTCACAAATTCTCTTTCCCCCAGTCTCAGTCGTGTATATTTCTCTCATTAACTCTTGTTCCCCTAAAACCCAGTCATTCCCTCAGCCCCACTCTTGTATATTTTTTTCACAGAGCGTTGTTATAGGTTCAAACACTGTCAGGGACACAACATGTTGTCTTTGGGAAAGGCACTGTACACAAAGTTTCCTCATTTCACCCAAGTAGGAATGGGTACCCAGTTTAATATAGACAGCAATACATCTAACCAGTTTGTTAGTGTTTGAGAGTTTAATCGGCTGCTTTCACTGTATGCATACCAGGAAGCCGAGCATGTTTCTATGTGTTTTACAGTGTGCTGGGGTATTTATAGTTGTCAAGCACATTGAGAATTATGTACTGGCATGGATACGTGCTATATAAATGCAATTATTGTTCTCATTATCATTATCCTTCAAACCGGTGGTTTTTATTTTAGGATACTTCATGAACAGCATCGTCTCTTGCTTAAAATGTCATTACCATTATGCATAATCAGTGACTGCATGTTGTAACTTCAAGTTGACTGCAAAGCTGGCTAATTTCACATTGTGTAGTAATGTAATTATTATTCAGAATGAAGCGAATACAAATTGAGAATCTGTTTTCTTCATGAATATTTCAGCCTCGCACAGATACTCCAAAGATAGACACGACAAAAAATGGACTGGTATATACACTTGCTAGATCCTTGTTTGTGTTTCGTTTGGAGACACCCAATTTCTGTTTTGGCTTTTGTATTTTTCGTTAATCGTATGCACCCTGTTCATGTTTCCCAGATTTAGCTGCTCTTAGTTGCTGCTAGTATAAGAAATTGGAGTGAAAGTTAAAGAAGAGCTTGATGATTTTATTTAAATTTTGCAAATCCTGTTGGAGGGATAGAAGAGATTTCATCAGGATTGTGTGGTCTGGTTCGAGTTGGCTGTAATTTGAATTCTTGGTGTTGCACAGATAGAGTGTTAATTGTAATCAATGTGTTCTCATTTTCTTTCACAAAACATCGCTTACCATTAAAAACTGAGTGATTTAGAATGTAAAATAATTATGGCAGGTAATTTTTTTTTTGGGAAGCCATGGTTTAAGAACTCTCGTAATTTTGTTAATTCCTAATTCTGTTATCGTTATAATCACTATATCATTGCTGTCACACGAAAACAGATTAACTATGTTTGATCCTGCTCTATACAGTCGGCAAAAAATTTTGGAGTTCATAATTTTAATTTCCTTTTTTTTTCTACCAATAAAATATCTTTTCAAGAGATAAATGCAGCTCTTTACATGTTTCAAGAGTAAAATTGTAATGCTCATTTTGACGAGTTATTTGCAGATTTCTCCTTTCTCTGATAATTGTTTTTCTTTTGATAGACAACCTCTGCCTTGGTTAGGGAATTCACTTATACTACACACCCAATACACAACACACTCACACAACACAAACACACACACACACACACACACACACACACACACACACACACACACACACACACACACACACACACTAATACATGTACACGCATACATACATACGTACACATAGACACATACTGTCTCACACATCTTCTCTTCCACACGCATAATATGGACGTACACAAAACAAATAATTACACTTGCGAACAGACTGAAAGTCACACTCATATGTTATAAATGAACAACTGTGAATAATAATTATATTTATGTTATATACACAGTCCTGATATTCTGATAGCATGCAGTGAAAAACGTCTTTAGATAATGAGATAATGTCACTTTCATAATGAGAAGTGACCTCCCCCCACTCCCCCTCCTCACATATGACCGTCTGTATTGCTCTGAGGCCTTCATAAGGTGAAGTGACCACCTCCTTCCCCCCCCCCCCTCCCCCCAACCCCCTCATATGACCCTCAGTTCTGCACTGGTGTCTGTTGCCCCCTGCACCACCTTGTATCATGACCTCAGTTGATGCCACAGATATGTCTCCGCCTGTCCTTCCTGTTCACACCCCACACTGCTCTTGCTCTGTGACCTCTGTGACCTCTGTGACCTCTGTGTTCACCAATCTTTAGCATGATTGTTCCATCAAGGACCACATGTGGTTCAGAGGTTAAACACTTAACACATGATCAGTTTCTCCTAACTTGGTGTTGGTATGTGTCACAGGCAAAACTGTTGCCGGGATCCTATTGTCATCTTCATCCAAGTAGCATTGTCTATTTAGATTATCTCACCTCTTTGACCCTCTTTCTCAAGTCCTTTTTTCTCCCATGAAAATCTTTCAGCATCCATATTTTCCCTCTTATCGTGTAAAGGAAAAACAATGCAAATAAGCTACTTATCATATAGTGATCCAACTACAAAAAAGATACTTTCAATGTAATTTTGACTGTATAAACACTGGAAAGAGAAATTAGAGAACAAACCAGTATTTGTATTTCTTACATTTCTCGTTTCGGTATTCATTTATGCTTTTCTCAATGTATTTTTTATTTTTTTTTGTTCAGAGGATGGGGATGTCATTTTCTTACTAGCAAGATTTTTTTTGGGTTTTTTTTTTGGTCATTCAAGAGGCTTATTCAGTGCTTTAGATGTTTTCAGGATAATGCTGCATTGCTCATTTTGTCAATCTATGTGAGGATTGCTGCTTTCTCTGTCAAAGAAATAGACAGGCCATCAGAAGTTATGAGATTATTTTAGAATTAAATGTTGCTCAGCAAAGTTCCTTCTGTCTCAGTTCCTTCTTTTTCTGCATTATGTCTCCAGATTCCCCTACCAGTTTTACACAATTTTGATGAAAATACACTCAAGTGTATAATTGCACTGTATCTGTGTTAGCTGAATGTTGTATAGTTTGGATTTCATGATGAGTTTTTAAAAAATGTGCTTTATGCAGTAAATGTTCCGTCTCTTACAAAAATTAAAAGTAGTTTTAGTTCTTTATTCTCTTCCCCTCTGAGGCTCAGTGACTTTCACTTTACTCTTGCCGACTCGGCGCCCACTACTCTCATTTTTTTTTCAATTATAAACATTTATATATAAATAACCATGTCATCCCCCCCACCCCCTCCCCGAGACAACCCCCCCCCCCCCTTCCCCCCCCCCCCCTCTCTCTCTCTCTCTCTCTCTCTCACCCCCTCCCCGAACCCCCCCAACCATCCCACTCCTCCGCACACCGCAAAAAGCTACTTATCATATAGTAATCCAACAACAAAAAAGATACTTTCATTGTCATTTTAACTGTATTAACACTTTAAAGAGAAAAGCACAAACATGTATTTGTATTTCTTTCATTTCTCGTTTTGATAATGGTTTTACCTTTTATAAGGACCGAAAGTGTTTTTAAGAGAGATTTGATCTTTCAACAATTCTTTACCTTCTCTTCATTTCAACAAAAAAGCTGAAGACAATGTTTAATGAAATTGGACTTCTTTCCAATGGAGGTTGATCATATAGAACTTGACTGCCTCTTCTTAGCTTCATGAGTTTAACTTAGTCTTAATTGATCTTCATGTCTGTCGAGAACCTTTGGAACAGGTTTTGCTTTTATAAAGGATTTTAAAATGTTCTTGTATTATCCCTACTTTGGCAATGATGCTGAATCTTTGTTTTTTAATGTTCTGGTATATCCACCCAAAGTTTTCCTTGTCGATAAAAAAGTTAACTCATCTCATCTCTTCTTATCTCATCTCATTTCATCTCATCTCATCTCATTTTATATTGTCTTGTCTTGTTTTGTCTTGTCTTGTGTTGGCCTGTCTTGTCTTGTCTTATTTTCAGTAGAAGTCTTGTAAGAAAAATCTGTCTAAACGTTTGTAAACCTTGTGGGTTTTTGTCTTTCTCAGCCTTCTGTGATGAATGAGGTGGAAGACGAGGGATACGAGGAGAAAAACGCTAGTGATGGAAGCGGCAGCGACTCTCCCATTCCGCTCCCGATCCCTAAGTCACGTCTCAGGATGGTCCCTGGTATGGAAATACCGTGTTAAGAGTCAGAGATTTTATCTCTGTTTCTGTCTGTCTGTCTGTCTGTCTGTCTGTCTGGCTGTCTGTCTGTCTGTCTGTCTGGCTGTCTGTCTGTCTGTCTGTCTGTCTGTCTGTCTGTCTGTCTGCCTGCCTGTCTGTCTGTCTGTCTGTCTGTCTGTCTGTCTGTCTGTCTGTCTGTCTGTCTGTCTGTCTGTCTCTCCTCTCTCTCTCTCTCTCTCTCTCTCTCTCTCTCTCTCTCTCTCTCTCTCTCTCTCTCTCTCTCTCTCTCTCTCTCTCTCTCTCTCTCTCTCTCTCAAAGTCCCATGTGTGTGAAAAATTCCATTTGTCTCTTTGGTAATATTTGACATCATTGTGTATTATCGGATGCTTACTTGTTTTCTTGTGAGTGGTTAGTGGGTGCTCTAGTGTGGTTTGCTCCTTCTTTCCTATCAAACATCTATCGTCCTTACCTCTCCTCCTTCTTTTTTGTGTATGTTACTCTCGTGTAATACATCTATTCTTCGGCACTTATATGACCTTACTGTGTTGTAATCGCCGTAAAACTCTTACTAAAACGAAACTTCCCTGCTAGGTGAAAGATTCCTTACACTTGTGACTTCACATGTGTCTGAAAAATTCCATTTGTCTCAAAAAATGTTTTTATTTGACATCATTTTGTATTATCGGATGCTTACTTGTTTTCTTGTGGTTGGTTGGTGGGTGCTCTAGTGTGGTTTGCTCTTTCTTTCTCATCAAATATCTATTGTCCTTATCAGTCCACCTTTTTTTTGTGCATGTTCTTCTCTTGTAACACCTGTAATCTTCAGCACTTATATGACATTATTGTATTGCAAGTGCCGTAAAATTGTTACTAAAAGAGCTTGTTTTCTTTTCTTTCCCCATCCCTCCCACACCCCATCCCTCCCATACCCCATCCCTCCCATACCCCATCCCTCCCACACCCCATCCCTCCCACACTCCAACACCCCTACACGCCCGACCCACCCCACCCCATGTCTGTCTTTCTGTCTGTCTCCGTCCAGGTTTCTCTGTGTCCCGGCTGACGGCCTTCATCCAGAAGTTCGTCCCGTCTGCCGCTTTGGTGGAGGACAACAGTATGGAGGTCTGTTTCCGACTGCCGGAGGAGGAAGAACATTCCAGAAAGTTCCAGGAACTTTTTGCTGCTCTGGAGTTCTCGCATGTGGAGCTGGGTGTGTCCAGTTACGGAATTTCTGACTCCAGTCTGGAGGAGGTGGGTCTCTCTTTCTCTCTCTCTCTCTCTCTCTCTCTCTCTCTCTCTCTCTCTCTCTCTCTCTCTCTCTCTCTCTTTATATAATATATATATACATGTACTTATGAAGACTAAGATAAGATAAGGTACATCATTATGGTCCAGATCCTGGCGCATTGGGTTTGTGTTTCACTACGTACGCACATACTCACACACGTACACATTCGCGCACACTCTCTCACACCCCCCCCACCACACTCACACACACACACACATGCACACACACGCAGGCATGCAGTCACACGCATAATATAAATGAACAGTGATATAAACAATAATAATGTTAACCTTGATGCATTTTCAGTATTCTGAACGTAACTCAATGTTATTCTGATGCATGCCCTAAGGTCATATGAGTACTTGTAACTCAAGTGACTACAAGGGAAAATGGCAGCTTTCACAGAAAAAATATCGTGGACTAGTGCCTTTATTCAATCACACGTTATGAATGACTCCAGCGCTTTCCCTGTGCCGCTGTCTTTAATGTATCACCAGTATGTGACTCCAGCGCTCCTTGATTAAAACTGTTTTTGTAGGCAAAATTGCTGTGGTGCTACCGATCAGTGCGGCCTGATCTATTTTTGTGCATATTTGAGATAATTGAGTAAACCCAATTTGTTGTTTCATAATACACTTTTCTCGTAAATGAAGGGAATGTTTAGATTTAAGATAACGGCTTGGCACTTTCGAAAAAATTTTAATGCTTGACGATGCACCAAGAAAAGGTGAATTACAAAATGGTTACATTCCATTTTGGCCTAAGTCTGACTTACACCTTAACGGCAGCACTGTGATAAATGGAACAGGTCAGACAAGTGGTCAAGACGGAGAAGGATGGAAGTGGAAAATTGTGACTATTGCCCTCCTTCCCCAAGTAGTCTTGATCTACTCTCTGTTATAATTACAAAGTGTTTAGTTCAGTAAGATCGAATTTTATTGAGAAGACACAAGATGAAGATGGTCAAACAGTTAAGTGATTCACGGTTGCAAGCAAAAGAAGACCTGAGTTTGATTCTCGGGTGGGAGTAATGATTATTGGTGGCCTAGTAGTGGCTCTCGGACTCGCAACCGTAAGGTCGTGGGTTCGAATCCCGTCAGGGGCCCGACGTTGTGTCCTTGGGAAAGGCACTTTACACGAATTTTCCTCACTTCACCCAGTTGGGAATGGGTACACGGCTATAGACAGCGAAAGATCTTGTCAGTTTGTTAGTGTTTGAGCACTTAATCAGCTGCTTGCACTGTATGCTTCCCGGGAAGCTGAGAATGTTTCAGAGTGTTCTATAGTCTGCTGGGGTAATAATATAGTGTAAAGCGCATAGAGCCTGCTGTTGAGCGGGGATATGCGCTATACAAATGCTATTTATTATTATTATTATTGTCAAGTGTCTCAGTCTGGCTGCTGGGACATTGTAATCCTCTCAGCTTGGATTGGCCCTGACAGTCAAGTTCGATGCGGCCCGCCTCTTTAATGATGTAGACAGTGTCAGTGGGGGCCTAAAAATTGTAGAGTTTTACACAAGACAAAGACAGAATCTTCTGTGCCAGTGATCTCGTAGATCTGATATGAATTGTAGCAAACAAGAAAATGAAGAGATTGTTGCTTTGTCAATAACTTTACATATTTTCCTTGTGTTCTTTACTTCATTTTGTTCTGATTCCATTGCATGATGAGGTTTTTCTCGTCTGTAGGTCTTCCTTCGAGTGGCGGAGGAGGGGGAAGCAGATGAAAACTCTGAGGAAAAATATCAGGAGGAAACAACAGAAAGTAAGTTGTTGCTGCTTTGTCTTTCTTCAGCGTCCGTATTCTCTATTTTTGCCTTTGATTCTCTCCCTCTCTCTGGCCGTCTTTTTGTCTGTCTCTGATCTTCTGTGTGTGCCTGTGTTTGTCTGTGTCTTTCTGTCTGTCTATTTCTCACTCCCTCTCCCTTTCCCCTCTCCCTTTCCCTTTCTCCTCTCCCTTTCCCTCTTCCTCACTTTCTCTCTCTCTCTCTCTCTCTCTCTCTCTCTGTCTGTCTCTCTCTCTCTCTCGCTCTCTCTCTGTCTAACTCTCTTTCTCTTATTCTCTCTTTTTTCTCTCTCTTACTCTCTCTATACCTCTCTTTCTTTCTCTCTTTCTTTCTTTCTTCCTTTCTTTCTCTCTCTCTCTCTCTGTCTCTCTCTCTCTCTCCCTCACCCTCTCCCTCTCCCTCCGTCTTAGATTTGTAACCAAAGTCCTCTGTAAAATCTCTGTTCTTTGCATTTATTGAACATACACACTCTGTTTAATGACGGGTTGGCGGGAAACTTTTGAAGCCAGTGACTGCTGTGAGCAGGTTTTGAGGTGGACTTGGTGCTAAAATGTCTGACTGTGGCCACTTTTGACAGGAAGCACCATGGACATGGACTGCTATTGGCAGGGTAAAAATATCTAATACGGAAAATGTAAGGGTGTTGGGGAACAGTGACCATTAGTACAGAAGACAATGACAATCTTTATTCATCTCACAGGGAGAAATTTGTCTTGGTCATTTACAATGGCAGTGTAATGTTACAAAGGTTAGGTGCACTCACGCATATGCATAACAAGACAAAACATTAGTAAATACATGTTTTACGAGCAAAAACAGTTTTACGAGCAAAAACAGACCATTCTGTAAATCTCTCTCTCTCTCTCTCTCTCTCTCTCTCTCTCTCTCTCTCTCTCTCTCTGTCTGTTTCATTTGTAGCCCTGTATGTTCAGTAATCTCACTGCAGTTGGTACGAATTAATTTTGAATTTCTATATCTGTCTGCTCTTGTTTTCTTAGAAATATATCGTTTACTGCTGGCCGATAATTGAAATTCCAATGTCAGTGGGTGGCTATTGTCACTTAACATTATTTTGGCCTTTTTTTAGAACGTTTGTCTTGTACGGATATTCAAAGTTACTTTGGTCTCTACCGATTCTTCTTGATGCCTTTCTGATCAACCTTTTTATTTCTATGATGTGCTGTCTTCCCATATGACTGCTATGGAGATGTGACTGCTAAGGCAGGTTCGACTATAACAGGTTGTACCTAGTCTGGTATTGTTCTTTGTAAAGAAAAGTGTCATAACACTGTAAGATCTCCCTCTGTGAAAAGTTGTTGTCATGTTTGTCAGTTTCAGGAAATGGTCAGGCCTACAGATCTTCCAGCTTACACTGCTACCCATCTGAAACAGCTCTGAAACTGTGTACCACCATAATTTAAAGACTAAAACATAAGTAAAGATTGCACCGTGTGCTTTTTTGGTCTCTCAGCTGTCTGTAATAGGCTGTGCCCATTGGCACCAAGGGTTCGGTTTTGTCGGTTTTGTTGGTCCATCATAGCGGACAGTATTGCATACAGACGTATCTCAAAGGCCACCAAAAATGACTTTACTCTGTATGCATTACTGCCCGCGTCATGGGAGGGGCAAAACTTATAAAACTGATGATGACCTTCAATTACAAACGTGTTTGTTTTCAAAGTTACATGCCGGGCGATCGGTTTGGGCAGTTGGTCTATTTTTAGTGTGTACTGAAGCCGCCAGGAACAAAACCAAACTGAATTAAACTGAACCAAACCAATCCTCCAATGGGCACCGCCTGTAACAGATGTGAACATAACTTGTCGTCTTGTGTCCCTAGGTCAAGAATGTCTCGTGACTCCAAATCGAGAGACTGCCTTTTCTAGAAATGATGTGTTTAGTGAGTGGAACAAAACTATTCTAGCACTTGTCTCTGCTTCATTCCCCTACACCCAACTATTTTCCTTTTCATTGTTCTTATTTTTTTTGCTAGAGAGTTTCGACTGCATTTTTGTTTTAAAAGATGCTGCTGTTAACTCCACAGATTTGATTTTATCTTTACTACCAAGATCTAGTTTTGTTTGGTAAAAATTTTACTGCGCCCCAACTTCATAAGGTCATATGGGCGCACAGATCCAGTTTTGAAAACCCTAAAGGTGTGAAAGCGCTCAGAGCTTATACTAGTTGCGAAAGAGCGCCATATATATGCAATCTATTATTAAAACTATTATTATTATCATATATAGACATGAATAAGCACTCTGCTGAAATAGGAAGAACCTTTTTTTATGATACAATAGGAATTGAAAATAGAGGATAGGCTTAAAAAAAATATTTATAAAGAGACTAATAAAGAGACAGATAAGAAAGGGGATTCTTTTTTCCCGCTAACAAAGTAACAAAAAGTGACAACCATTTAAATGCTTGGTTTTCTGGAGCATATTTTTCTATTCTTAACATTTGTGAGCACTGGAGATGGGTTAAAACTTTAATGGTGCATGCCAGTTCATTGAACACTACCATTTTGTAAAAGCACTTGTCCAGTTTTCTTTCAGGGGAACCAACAGTTTTGTTAGCTACCTGAAATTTTTGCCTGTTGTAAGAACGAAATGATATGTGGTTTTTCTCATACACATTTTTGTGAATCGGAACCTTTTTTTTTTGGAATTTTGTTCAAAGGCTTAAATTTTTTTTCACACCACGCCTCCTCCCCCCCTCCCCCCCTCCTTCCACCCTTCCTCCCTCCTTCCTCCCCGAGTTTGAGCCAGTTTGTTTTGTGTGTGTGTGTGATCATATTTTGCTTCTCGCTCCCTCCTCCCCATTTCTAGATGGCAGGTACCCGCGGCGCCCCTCTGTGCGCAGTAAGAAACCCAAAACGTCCATGTTCAAACTGAGCTACAGAAACAGGGTCAACTCAGCGGAACGACTCACGAACGACACGAGTGACACCGGTGAGGGATACGCGTCCGTTCTGCTTCTCTCTTCTTGCATGACGTCTGAAATCTTTTGTTACAAACTGCTTGGAGAAAAGCCTTCTGAAATATGTTCTAACATTTCCTCTTTTCATTTTGTTTTGTTTTAATTGCATTTCTTTCTTTTTATAATCCTGATCAAGTGGGTAAAAAGATATTACAGCGTTTATTTACCATTCAGGACATTGAAACAAAGATGAAATTTGGATCAAGTAAATTGTAACAGCTTTATTTTTAAAAAATGATTTTAGTTTCAGACATGGCACAAAACAGATCTAATGACCTTTTTTCATAAGATTTGCTTTGTTGTATTCAGCGATAAAGATCTGTATTTTATTGTGTCTGTAGGCTTTTAGGTGTGTATTAAGTTGCACCTACAGCCCTACATCTAAGTCACCAAAGATGGGTTCAAGCTGTTTACTTAAGCTCTGGAGTCAGGTCTTTTAAGAAGTGGTAAATGTGCCCCTGAGTCAGATGTTTATAATCAAATGTGGATAGTACTCTAATATTTATTTTCTTGCGTATTTTCTCTCTTTCTCTCCCAAGACAATGTTAAAAAAGGCTATGGTAATATTCTGTGTTTGTGGCATATTATTTTAGTAGTTAAAAGTTTTCATCTTTGTCACTGATCTGCATGCTTTTAGCGCCAGCGGGGCGGTGGTACTTAGATCTGCGTACCCAAGAAGCGCAGTTCCTTTTTGATGACAGTTTCTTAAATCCACTGTAAAAAAGTAGCGTGCTTTCTTCAATTTGTATGCCATTACTATTTATGTGTGTTATTTGTGTTTGTATGTGCCTTGTGTGTCAGGCAAAGGGGGATTCTACTCTCTATGTAGGTAAAATGTCCATATACGTACAATCCATTGCATTGTAATCCTTGACTTCCTAAGGATACCAGAGGAAGGAAAAAAAAATGAACTGTAAGATGAAGATCTTACAGTCAGTCATGCAATAAGCTCGAGCAGCGATATGAGACGAAGAAGAAGAAGAAGAAGAAGAAGAAGAAGAAGAAGAAGAAGAAGAAGAAGATTTCATGTCTTTGCACAGCACCTTTCTACAAACTTTCTACGCTTATCTTAGCCTGCTTCCAGAGTCATTTTGAATTTTTAACTTCTCCTTGAATTGAGCTGCATCTTTTGTAAGCATTTTACTCAAAAATACCCCCCCCCCCAAAAAAAAGAAAGAAAGAAAGAAAAGAAAGAAAGAAAAAAAACAACAATGACAACCCCCCCCCCCCACCCCCTCAATCAAAGGCTATGAAATTTTGGTCTGAACATCTCAACCTGGGAGTCATATCTTTGAAAAATGTGTATTAACAAATGCGGGGATGGCAAATGGAAGCATGGTTTTGTGTTACATATCTGTATGTGAGCATGTTTGGTTGTTTGTAGTTTAAATGTCCATTTGCATGTGTATATGTCAGTGTGTATGAGAGTATGATTGCTTGTTTTTTGTTTTTTTAAATGTCCATTTGTATGTGTGTATGTGTTTGTGTGTGCATGTTTGTATGTGTGTGCGTGTGCATGTGAATGTGTGTGTGAGTGTATTTGTGTGTATGAGTGCATGTGTTTACCACCTTTATTCTACGACTTCTTTCTGTCCCGGCTGCTACTGCTTTTTTCCCTCTGACTTCCTTCCCCGCTCTTCTACCCCCCCCCCCCTCCAATTTCCCTTCCTCGCCTCCTCCTCCTCCCCACGTCCCATCCTTTGCAAATTCCAACAACGCAGTTATGCAAGACGTCTCCTTTCCCCTTCATAATATGTTGAGTAGACATTGCTTCCTTCATAGTTTTGTTAATGTCTGCCTTGTACGTTGATGATGTGCTACAGTTGAACCTGCTCTAACGGCCACCTGTCCAAGACAGTCGACATGTACAAACCACCACTTCCCACTTCCCCACTTTTGGGTTTTTTTCTTCTTATTGTAATGACTCTGCCCAAGCCGTCTACCTGTCTAAGACAACCATTTTTCTCCTTGATAACAATAGGTGGCCATCTAGAGCAGGGTCGACTTTATTTGATTATAATTATAGTATTCCAGCACCTTTCCTTTCGTTTTTTTCTTAAAAAGAAAATCTCTCGCAGTTAAGAACAATGAGAACACATCCGTTACCTATCCAGGCCTATGTAATTATGAGCATGATTTAAATAACGCCTCTCCAAATCTGTAATGGGCTAACTCAGGAATTAAGTAAAGTAATCCAAGTTTTTATCTCTCTTGGGACAAAGGATTAACAATAAAGTCGAGCAAATCGTAAGGGTAGAGTTTGATAAGTCAAGAGATAAAAATAAGGTAAGATACGCTCTATTGATCTTTCCTTAGAAAAAATTGAGCAGAATATTCTTCTTAGGCTTGCCACAACAAAAAACTATTTTTATGTCAGGAATCAGAACTTTCTTGGTAATGTTGCTCCTGGTCTGAACGAAGGAAGAGAATTACGACTCTCATCGCAGCTGTTTTATAAATCGTTTAAGATTTTGTGGAGAAGAAAAAAGATAAAAAGAACTCAGGGCTAAGTTTGTATCAGTGGGATGGTATGCATTAATTTTACATTACTTAACTTTAAAATCAGCAAAATTGGCCACAAATATATCTTGATGTATCAAAAGGCTCCTTTATCTATGTGGCAAATATTCTCGTCCATTTACAATCTTTTAGACTTATTTCTGTTTTATCTATTTATATATATAAACAGCGTTTGGTTGGTCTCATTAGAGTTCACAATGAAGATTTATATTCAAGATGAAAAAAGTATTAGAATGTTTGTTTTGAAGAATCTAAAAGTAAAACAATTAAGCTGAAAGTTTGCTTGGATGTGAGATTTTTTAAATAACTGTTACGCTTACTCTAATGTTGTGAACAACTCTATGAAATCTTGCTGACTGTATTCATCTTTTTTTTTAGCAGCTCTTTTTCTTGTTAAGGGCCTTTTTCAATTACCTTTTCTATTTCTCGTAAGGAATTTTAGGGGAAGATAAATAAACCATCCCAACAAAGTGAAGATGATGGTTATTATTATTGCAACCTGTCAGAATTTTTACTTTGAATTTTCTTCATCAGAGTCGATGGCTTCAGAACCTGCAGACTCGATTAACGACATCAACTTCAGCGGAGCGGGAAAAGTTCAGGTGGTCGGCAAGGTGCTGGTGATGAGGCAACTTCTGGCTCTCTTCCTCAAGCGTTTCCACCACGTCCGGCGCAGCAAGAAAGGCTTCATTAGCGAAGTAGGTCATTCGGATTGTCTTAACTCTTTATCTCCGAGGGGGGTAAATCAATTATGCCGGGGCCCTTTTTTGGTACTAAATTTAAAAATGACAAAAACATCACTAAATTGGTTTTTAAATAAAAAACAAGTGAACCTATTTTGATAGTTCTTCATCTAATGAATAAAACCCCGATAAAAGAAACCTGTTTTTGGCAATTGCCCTAAATTAATTTGATGTCGACTTCGTAGTAAAAGAATGTGCCCGAGCCGCTCGGCTTATCGACACAGTGGTTCTGACCGCGAGCCGCTGGGAGCAGCTTGCCAGAACTCTTAATGTCTTTATTGGAAGAACAGCTTTATCTGGACAACCCCCCCCCCCCTTTTTCCCCCCCCTCCTCTGGGCTCCGGCTCCTTTCTGCTGTAACTTCTGGCTCCTTCTTACTGCTGTCTCTCAGCCATACCTCTGATCGTCGGGTAGGTAAGATTTAACACCTAGGTTTCTTGGATAAGGGTGAAAAAATCTCGGGAGGTCCAGTGTGCAAGTTGCGCACGTTAAAGATCCCTTGATGGTCTTAAAATCAAAAAGAGAACGCTTTGGCTGCCACTGGGGCAATTTTCAAAATTAATTTCTACCAAAACTGAAATTGTTTAACGTGTCTGTTGTTGTTGTTGTTGTTAGCGATCCAGTAGCATCTGAGCGTTAATTCTTCTGCATGATGCCATTCGGTAATAGTTGCATGTTTGTTCTAATTGTTGTCTTGAGGAGTAGAGGCAATTAGATGTGTGGGGTAGCTTGGGAAGAAAACATCCCCTTAAATCAGTTAGTTTTCTACAGAAAAACAGATGATGTTCCACTGTCTCTGAGGGGTAGTCACATAGTGGGCAGGCAGCAGACTGCTTTACTCCAATTCGGTTGAGATGTTGGTTGAGGGGTACATGTTGTTTTCTAAGTTGGAAGATTATGGATTGATCTCCCCTCCTCAACTCATTGATTGGATCTTTGACCAGTGGTTTATTCATGTGGCCATACATCCTCCTTCCTGTCGTACCTGTGGCCCAATCATTCATCCACTCTTCCTTGAGGTTTGACTTGATCATTTGGCAGCAGGTGGTGTAATTTGTAGGAATTTCAGGCTGAGGGAGACTAGCTCTTTTCTTTGCCAGAGCATCAGCTCTTTCATTTCCCGGTATCCCAGTGTGGGCAGGAATCCATTGTAGGACTACTCTGACGTGGTGCGTTTAACGTGTCTCTGTCCCTCCCTTTTTCTCTCTCTCTCTGTCTCTCTCTTTGTCTCTCTCTTTGTCTCCCTCTCTTTCTCTCTGTCTGTCTCTGTCTCTTCTCTCCCTCTCTCTCTCTAACAAAACAAACACGACCACAAGCAAAACCCTATGACGTCCATCCCGTCCACAGATCCTCCTCCCTGCTGGCTTTGTGTGTCTGGCCATGATCTTCTCCCTGATCCTGCCCCCGTTTGAGGAAGAACCGCCCCTGGAGCTACAGCCCTGGATGTATGAACCCAAGAAAGGCGACAACTTCCTCAACACTTTCTACAGGTGGGTGGTTGGCGGGTGCTCTGGTGTGGTTTTCTCCTTCTTTCCTATCAAAAACTATTGTCATTCTCTCTCCTCCTCCTTTTTTGTGTTTGTACTCTCTTGTAACACCTCTAATCTTCCGCACTTATATGACCTCATTGTGTTTTTCAAGTGCCGTAAAACTCCTACTAAAACTGAAAAAAAAACCAACTTTACTTTTCCGATCCAGCAGCCATCTGAGGAGTTCTAGCTCTTTGGCCTGTTGGTATGGCAAAGAATTTACAGAATTTTTGTCAGCTGCGTTTTGTCGCTGTAAAGAGTATTTCCGATATCTGGGGAGGCAGGTAAGTAGATAGGTACTACTCAGGTTGCTAAGTACAGGACAGGTAAAGAGATGGTGTGATACTGTTTCATCCTCGCAGTCACACAGTGTGCAGGCAGGTGGGGTATCCTTATGGATCCTGTTTAGGTAGGAATTCAGTGGGATGTGTTGTGTTAACAGGCGAAAGATAATGACTTGCTCTCTTCTACTCAGGGAATTTAGTGCATCTTTTGAGTTGAGGGCAGTCATGTGTGCAAATACAGTTCTCCCAGTTTTGCCCATTGCCCATTCATTCAGCCATTGTTCCCTGGTGTTGCATTTGATGATGTTCTTGACTGTCTGTTGTTGTGATACTGGGTTTTGAGGTTGTGTTTGTGATGCTCCCTTCTTCATCTTTTGAGTTGGGAGCAGTCATGTCTACAAATGCAGTGAATACAACACACGTGAACATTTTTATCAAATGTCTCTGTCTCTCTCTTGGGACGTTGTATCTCTCTCAGCTTGGCAGGCAGGGTGGGTCAAAGCCAACCGCCTTCTAAATCATCTAAATTGAGTCAATTGGGGAGTAAAAACTCTACAACCATAGGTTTTTAAAAAACTTTTACATTGTTGATATTCAGTGCCATTCCTATGTCATTTTATTATCCATCTTCAACATGGTATAATGTCCTCCACCCTTTTTTATGTGGAGACTCATTCTGTGTGTATTTTTTCTTCTGACACCATCTTCTTATACTATTTAGTGAAGTAAGTGTATGGGTTTAACGCCCCTATCTACTCTGTTATGTTATGTAAGGGGTGGGACCTCCGAATTCAAGGTCTGTCTCTGATAGGACAAAGCTAAAATGGGCTGAGAGGTTTGAAAACTCTGCAAAGTGACCAGAGTTCAAGAATGCTCTGTCTGGGATTCGAACCAGGGCCATCCACTCTGCAGTCCAACATGATGCTAACTGAGCTAACAGAATGCCTGAACTGTTCTGTGACTAATGTTTTGCTGTCTTTCTTTCTTCCGCAGCCAAGAGAACCCTACCAACCTCCTCGCTCAGTCTCTGGAAGCAACAATGTTGAATTCTCCGTACTACGGCACCCGCTGCATGAATGACAGTCAGCACTCTATAGAGTGAGGGGTCTATTGATAATGAATAGCATTTGTATAGCAAATGAAATCCTCGCTTGACAGCAAGCTCTATGCGTTTTACACCATATTATTACCCGAGCAGATCATAGATCACTTAAAAACATTCTCAGCTTCCAGGAAAGCCTACAGTGCAAGCAGCTGATTAAGAGCCCAAACACTAACGAACTGACAAGATCTTTTGCTGTCTCCGGCCAATCCATTATCACCTTGCTTCTCTCTCTCTCTGTCTCTGTCTCTCTGTCTCTCTGTCTCTCTGTCTCTTTCTCTCTCTCTCTCCCTGTGTCTTGCCTCTCTCTCTCACCCTCTCCATCTCTTTCTCTCTCTGTCCCTTTCTCTGTCTCTCTCTCTGTCACCTCTCTCTCTCTCTCTCTCTCTCTCTCTCTTTCTCTCTCTCTCTCACTCCCCCCCCCCCCCTTTTGTTTCTGTAGGAGAGTCAGTTTAGGGTTGTCTTCTTTGACAAACTTTGGTCATCTGTTACCACTGTAACTGTAAGTGGAAGTACAGTTTTGATAATCTCTAGCTATTCTAAGTGAGTGTATGTAGCGTTAGAAGGGTTGTCTTCATTGGCAGATTGTGGTCATCTGTTACCGCTGTAAGTGTTATTAGAATTGTTGTCGCTTGTAGCTATTCAAAGTGAGTGTAAATAAAACATTTTCCTCCATGTGCGTTTTGGTCGTCTGTTACCACTCTAAGTGTTATTACAATTTTTATGGTTTGTAGCTATTCAAAGTGAGTGCAAATAAAACATTTTCCTCCATGTACATTTTGGTCGTCTGTTACCACTGTAAGTGTTATTACAATTTTTGTCGTTTGTAGCTATTCAAAGTGAGTGTAAGTAAAAGTTTTTCTTAATTTCCATTTTTGTCATCCAGGAGCAAGGCCTGTTTGCCGTTTACCTCTTTGTGGACTCCCCGACCTTTCATGCCCAATGTATCGGATCTTCCTTCCTGTTCCTGTGACAGTGGCTTCCAGAGATGTCCTGATGGTCAGTATATATATATATATATGCATGCATATATATATTTATATGTGTGTCTGTGTGTACATTTGTGTGTACGTATGTGTGTGTACATGTGTGTGTGTGTGTGCGTGTGCGCGTGTGTGTGTGTGTGTGTGTGTGTATGTGCGTGCATGTGTGACGGGCAGGGTCAGAAACGGGCTTCCTAAATGATCTAGACTATAATAATGAAGATAATTTTAATAGTAATATAATATTAATGATGGCAAAAATAATAATGATAATAGTAATAATAATGTTAATGCTAAAAATCACTTCTAGAGCATCTGCTCACTGGTGGATCTAGGTACTTCGCATTGAAAATAAGACAAATCAACGTTTCATGCATACCTGCCCATTCAACGTGCTACAATCCAACACCTGTAATCTGACAAAGAATACATACGCAAAAAGACAATCTCTGTGGCTACTGATCACAATTCTTCCACCCACCCTCTTCCCAGTGGGTGGTTGGCGGGTGCTCTGGTGTGGTTTGCTTCTTCTTTCGTATCAAACATCTATCGTCCTTATCTCCCCTCCTTCTTTTTTATGTTTGTTACTCTCTTGTAACAGCTCTAATCTTCTGGCGCTCATATGACCTTATGCAGTTGCGAGCGCCGTAAAACCTCTACTAAAACAAACATGATCACAATTGGTTTTGGAAGAAGAATCAAACTAGCAAGTACGATTGGACATAAATAAATGTGATTTTAGACCAGATTTAAACGCGGCCAAAGTTGATGCGTCTCTTAACTCTTTAACCATGCAATTATAAAATCATGTTTCCGCGTAATTCTCTAATTCTCTCGTGTTTGTGGAAATGCGACCCAACATATAACATTAAAAAAAACTCTTGTTTCGTGTCAAACTGATCAATAAAGCATTACCCCTACGTAGAATTCATTTATCTTTGACTTCCGGGTCAAACTAAAGGGTTGTTAGCTCATACTTTTTTATATTCGGCCCGTACCATAATACAATAATAACTTGGCATCGGACGGTGGTACCATCCAGCCATGGTTACGGACCTCGACTTCTGGACGCTACCACTGTCCAGACATGGTTAAAGAGTTAAAATGCTGTGGGAGGGAACTCCACATTAAGAGAGCAGCTGTCGAAAAAGCCCTACTTCCAGTTTTTTAGTTTTGCAAGGCACAGTCTTAAGTTGTTTTTTAGTTATGAACCGTAAATTTTGAGATGGAATATGCTCCTTTAGTGAATTAGAAAGATGCTGAGGTGTTAGATCAGGTCTTATGTAGTTCTAATAGGATGGGAATAGACATGGTTTAAAAAAACCTGCCAGAGAACATTGCGAATGCGGCTGGGGTAAAACACCTCATCATCGTCCAGTGCCAGATCTGTGACAGACATCGGCAATCATAGTTCTCCATTCATTCCTTTGCTCGGGTGCTTTTAAAAAAGCTACATTTCCCTGATCTTTCCCTGTTACTCATTTGTTTAGGTTCCCTAATAGATTGCTCTGGGCCTACCCCTGCCTCGTTTTGCCTTCAATTTTGCCAGTGAGAGCTAGATGTTCAAGATGTAAAGCACCTACTTGTGAACAAATAAAATTTGTGTGTGTGTTCAGGTGCTGGAGGCCCGACCCCATCCTACTCGGTCATCCAGACCAATGACCGTCTGCACAACGTGAGTGACCGTGACGTCTCAGAGTGGCTGGTCAGGACTATAGATCTCTACAGGAGACGCAGGTTGGTTGGTTGACTGTGGGGGGGGGGGGGGGGCTGGATGGGTAGAGGAGAGGAGGAGAGAGGGAGGGGGAGGTGCGATGGTGAGGCAGGGGGAAAGGAGCGTGGAAGGGAGGGATAGGGGATAGGGAGGAGGGAGGGGGGTGAGGAGGGGGGATGGAGGAGAAGGGGAGAGAGATTGTAATATATTGCCGTAAGCTGACAAAATGCCTTCTTTTTTTCTTTACATCAGTTTCAAGAAAAAGAGATTTTTTTGATCAGCGTTACCATTGAAAAGTAGAGTCATTCTGAAATTTGAATTTTACTTGATTCAAAAACTAGTAAAGTCAGTTTCAATTTGATACTTTCACACAAGAATGGTAACTGATCAGGCTTTTGGTTTAGCCCTAAAATGAAAAAAAAGGCGTTTTGTCAGCTTACGGCAGTATACAGGTGGCCGTTTGAGCTGGTTCGACTGTATTTGTAAGAAGAAGGGATAGAAAAGAGAGCTGAACACGTTGTGACGATCTCGCTTTTCTCTCCCAGATTCGGAGGCTTCTCTCTCGGTGAGGAGAACCCACTGGGTCAGTTCAACACGACGCAGGTGGGCGAGGTTCTTGAACGGCTAGTGACCGCTGCCAGCAACGACTCCTCTATCTGGGCGGGCTCGGAGCAGATTTGGAGAGACCTGGAGACTATTCTGGAAGATGGTTATGTTGCCGACAATGTCAAGGTCAGTGTTGGAGCACCATAGTTTTGGGGGAAGGAGGGGGGTTGCCCTGTTGTTGAAGTTAAATATGGGTGGGGGTGGGGGAGGGGGAAGAGGGGAAACCTGTTGAAGTTAAATTCTGTTCTCGGTTGTGTAAATGTATGTATTTTTGAAAGTTGTATTTTTGTGAATGTATGTATATGACATGTTATACATGTCTATCTTTGTGTGTGTGTGTGTGTGTGTGTGTGTGTGTGTGTGTGTGTGTGTGTGTGTGTGTGTGTGTGTGTTTGTGTTTGTGTGTGTATGTTCGTGTGTGTGTGTGTGTGTGTGTGTGTGTGTGTGTGTGTGTGTGTGTCTAAATGTGTGTGTGTGTCCATCCCTTCTTAATACATTGCTTTTCTTAGAGCTCTGGTATATGTAATTAGCTGTTTTAAAAGTGCCTCTTATTACTCTGTTTTTGGGCACCTCGTTACTTCAGTTGGTATCATGGTGGGCTAGGGTGTGGATGGCCCTGGTTCAAATCCCTGACTGGACGTTCTTAAACTAGGTCTTTTTGTGGAGTTTTCAAAGCTCTCAATCCTTTTGGCATGGTCCTATTGGAGATGTAGGTTAAATTCGGAGGTCCGGCCTCTTAAATAACCTAATAGTGTTGACAGGGGTGTCAAACCCTTACACTTACATTCACACCTATATCTGCACTCACACTTACTTACTTTGTTCGTGGGTGGTGGGCAGGTGCTCTGGTGTGGTTTGCTTCTTCTTTCCTATCAAATATCTATCATCCTTATCTTCCCTCCTTCTGTTTTTATATTTGTTACTCTCTTGTAATGCCGCTAATCTTCTGGCGCTCATATGACCTAATGCAGTTGTGAGCGCCGCAAAACCTCTTCTAAAACTAAAAACTAAACTTACTCTGTCCCCCCCCCCCCCCCCCCCCTCTTCCTGCAGGTTTGGTTCAACAACAAGGGCTGGGCTGCCTCTGTGTCCTACATGAACGCCATGAACAATGTGATTCTGCGCAGCATGCTTCCCCCCGGCACCGACTCGCATTACTACGGCATCGTCACCTACAACCACCCGATGAACTTGACCAAGCAGCAGCTGAACGAGGAGTTATTGTAAGTTGAACCAGGAGTTATTGTATGTTGAACCAGGAGTTATTGTATGTTGAACGTGGTGTTACTCGAAGTTGGACAGAGAGTTACTGTGAGTTTAACCAGGAGTTACTGTAAAGTTGTAGAATGTAATATTTCATAATGGGAAAAAATGCTATTATATAAGCTGTTTGTAATATTTTTATGAAGAAAAAACCCCCCAACCAACCTCTTTAATAACTAGATCTAGTGGTGTGTAACCAGTCCCTTGACCTTTCACCTTCAGGTACAGCAGTGCCGTGGACGTTGTCGTGGCGATCTGCGTCATCTTCGCCATGTCCTTCGTCCCGGCCAGTTTTGTGCTTTTCCTCATCGAAGAGCGCGTGTCCAACAGCAAGCACCTGCAGTTTGTGTCCGGCATCAACCCCACCATCTACTGGCTGGCCAACTGGCTCTGGGATATGGTGAGTACATTTTTATTTTGAGTGGTTGGCAGGTGCTCTGGGATATGGTGGGTACATTTTACCATAGGTGGTTGGCAGGTGCTCTGGGATATGGTGGGTACATTTTACCGTGGGTGGTTGGCAGGTGCTCTGGGATATGGTGGGTACATTTTACCGTGGGTGGTTGGCAGGTGCTCTGGGATATGGTGGGTACATTTTACCATGGGTGGTTGGCAGATGTTCTGTGATATGGTGGGTACGTTTTTAAAGTGGGTGGTTGGCAGGTGCTCTGGGAAATGGTGAGCACACTTTTATTGTGGGTGGTTGGCAGGTGCTCTGGGATATGGTGGGTACACTTTTACCGTGGGTGGTTGGCAGGTGCTCTGGGATATGGTGGGTACATTTTTACACTATGTCTCCTTAAGACACAATCTACCTGTGGAAGGTTGGCAGGTGCTTTGGTGTGGTTTGACCCTTCTTTCGGATTTAACTTCGATCAGCCTTACCTCTCCTCCTTTTTTTCTTGGTATCTTACTCTCTAGTAACACCTCTAATCTTCAGCACTTGAATGATCTATTTGTGTTGCACGTGCCGTAAAACTCTTACTAAAACTAAAACTTATCTGTGGTATCATCTGTTAATTGGCTCCTCTGCATCTCTTTCCTTCCAGCCTTTCTGTTAACAAGTCACTGTCCTTGGTTGTCCATTGATTTTATCGTCTCCAACATTTGTCACAGAGAGCTTTTTGGCTGTTTTCAAGAGATCTTATTGTGACATACATAAAACATACATGTTATTTCATATATCGTCGCCGTCGAGATAAGATCGGATACCTACAAAATTTCCGATTTTTCTTTTTTGTGCGAAACGTATTCTTCAAAGCATGTTTTATATTCCAATTGAAAATTTGTATTCAAATAAACAATCGAAAGTGGACTTTTTAAACCATAGTATGAAAATCGGATAATGCTAAGCTGTCCTTTAAATAAATCAGTTCAGTTTTTTTCCTTCTGCAAAATTTACCCTCTGTCACTTTCCCTATCTTATCACCACGGCGATGATATACACTGTGCATGTAATTGCATCCATTATTTTTCAACCGAGATCAATAAAATTGGTATTTTGTTATAATTTTCTTCTGCCTTTCAATGCATAATGTAATTGAAAACAATTTATTTTTCCCAGTTGAACTACTCCATCCCAGCTATTCTGTGCATCTTCATTTTCCTGGCTTTTGGAAAAGACGCGTACGTGTCTGCAAAGAACTTTCCTTGCCTGTTGGCCCTGCTTTTCCTCTACGGGTGAGTACAGTTCTGGCGTCGGTAGTCTAGTCGTTAGGTTACCGGACTCGCAATCATGAATTTGCGGGCTTGGTGGTTCGAGCCTCAGGCCTGACATTATAAGGAAAGGCACTTCTCACAAATTTTCCCCACTTCACTCAGGTGAGAATGGGTACCTGGCCATAGACAGTGAAAGGTCTTGTCAGTATGTTAGTGTTTTAGTGCCTATAATAAATGGCAGCTTGCGCTGAATGCTTTCCAGGAAGCTGAGATTGATTCAGAATACTATCAGGTCTCTTGGTGTAATGATGTAGATTGTAATAATAACAATATATAACATTTATACAGCGCATTTCCAAAAAAGAAGCTCAATGCGCTTTACATTGGAATACCCATTGTGCAGCGCATAGACCTTGCTGTTGAACAGGAACTTGTGCTACACAAATACTTGGATTTACTTGGATCCAGAGCTAGAATCATAGCAAGCGGCACATGTCCATAGCTGCTCATCTCTGCTTTCCAGCGTCCACATCAGGGTCTTCCTGCTAATTCTCTCCATGAGGAGCTGGTTTGAGACACGCCTGACCACTCCTCGGAGCAAACTTTTTTTCGCTGTGCCCTGCACACACTTTCCTTTTATTGTGCTGAGTGTGTGGGAGTCTGTCTCCTCTTGGTTGAGAAGGCTCTCCTTGCATCTGACGATCACCATTGGTGGGTCGAGCATGATAAATACTGTTCATTATTATTAGAAAAGCTGGATGTCTTACCAGTAAAGAAGATGCTATTTCTTCTTTTCCTCCGTTACCCCCAAGCGAAATGGGCAACATTTAGAAACAGCAAGTAGGTGGTTGGAGGGAACCGCTAGTGAGTTGTATTCCTTTTCTTTCCCTCTGTTGTTTCTCTCTATCTGTCCTACTTTCTTGAAAAGAGGTTTGACATATAACAGGAAAATATTTCTGAGATTGCAGAAATTGCTCCTTCTTTCCTGTCAGACATCTTTCATCCTGATCTGTTCTCTTTCTTTCCTTGTTATGTTGCTATCTAGTAACACATCCAATTTTAGGCTCTTATGTGTCCTGTTTGTGTTGCAAGTATCAGGGCAAAGGGCTAGAACCCAAATGGCCACTGGTTCGGAAAAGTAAAGTAAGTGTTGCAAGTGCCATAAAAGTGCCTTACGCAGTTATGAGCATTATAAAACTTTTACCAAACAGAAGCTGAAAAGTCTTACTTAAACTAAAACAATCAGTGGACACACACACATAGAATAGAAGACTTTGCAGTATGTATTCTAGTCTACACTTCAGTATGTATTCTAGATGACATTGCAGTATGTATTCTAGTCTACACTTCAGTATGTATTCTAGACGACATTGCAGTATGTATTCTAGTCTACACTTCAGTTTGTATTCTAGACTACATTGCAAAAATGTATTCTAGTCTACACTTCAGTATGTATTCTAGACTAACTTGCAAAAATGTATTCTAGACCATTGCGATAATATTGTATTCTAGACTACACTGCAATATGTATTCTAGACTACACTGCAATATGTATTCTAGACTACACTGCAATATGTATTCTAGACTACACTGCAATATGTATTCTAGACTACACTGCAGTATGTATTCTAGATGACATTGCAATATGTATTCTGTCTCTCCCCAGATGGTCTATCACACCAATGATGTACCCGTTCTCTCGAGTGTTTGACGTGCCGAGCTCAGCGTTTGTGGCGCTGTCGTGTGTCAATGTGTTCCTGGGCACTGTGTCCACTCTGGCGACTTTCATTCTGGAGCTCCTGTCGCAGGACGACCCGGTAAGTGCATACACTGTTGTCTCTTTTCCTTTGTTTTTCTTTTAAAATTTAGAAATTTTTGTTTTTGTTTTTGTTTTTGTTTCGAGTCTGGCAGCGGTCCGTTTGACTTCAATGTGGTCATTTTCATGAATATCGCTATTTCGATAAATAATTTAAATCCTGTCAACTGGGGCATAAAGACACCTACTTAAAAAAATACCACAAAGCACCAAAACGATTTAATGAAACTATCACAGTCATTAAATCATTCAGAATGTAATGTTTTGCCGCATTTGAAACTATTTGGACGTAATAAATTTGTAACCCCACGAATCAGTTTGAAGGAAGGAAGTAAAATGAAGTAAAATGGTCCACAAACCGAAAGATTTCATGTCAGCAAACTTTCCTCTCTCGTTTTAGATGTTCATTGATGTTACAAAAGCAATAGAATGGAAATGTTGAAACTAACAGCCCTGTTCAAATTGCTGACATGTCTGTGATATATCCAAGCGTGTTTCCCAGAAGTTACAGATAACTCATGACATGTTCAGACTCATTCTCTGGAAGTTACTGATATATCAGAGACATGTTCAGATATTTTTCCTGATAGTTTCTCATATATAGGAGATACGTCCAAATGTGTTCCTTGGAAGCTACCGACAGTAGGCCTACATCCAAATGGGTGTCCTAGAAGTTATTTATGTATTGACGGCGCATCCAGATGGATGCCCCAGAAATAATCAATATATCGCCAATATGTCCAAAGGTGTTTCCCTGAAGTTACCTATATACGGTTGATGATGTCCAAACATGTTCTTTGGAAAGTACTGTTGTATCTGCAATACATCCTAACATGTTCTTTGGAAGTTAATGATATGTCAACAATACATCCAAATGTGTTCCTAAGAAGTTAATGATAATAATATATCAAAAATACGTCCTAATGTGTTCCCCGGAAGTTAATGGTATATTAGAAATACGTCCAAATGTGTTCCCCGGAAGTTAATGGTATATTAGAAATACGTCCAAATGTGTTCCCCGGAAGTTAATGGTATATTAGAAATGTGTCCAAGAAGAGCTATAGTACCTCTTCTACAACTGAACAAAACTTATGCTCCCTGCGACAGGATCTGAAAGACATCAACGTGATCCTGAAGCAAGTCTTTCTGCTCCTCCCCCACTACTGCCTGGGCCGAGGCCTCATCGACATGGCCAGCTTCCAGCTGCAGGCAAATGTCCGAAACAGAATTGGTCAGTTCCTGTTTGTTTCTAGTCGATTGTTTCATGTTTCATGCCCTACTGTACAGAACCCCACCAGGGCAGTGCTACTGACTGAAGTGTATTTTAGCCATTTCCATTGGGGGGATGTTCTTATGCGCAGTAGAATTGTAAATGGACTGATTTATCAATGTCATGCTCATATTGTGCCAGAACAACATAGGGGAAACTGTTGCTTTTTCTTTCTTCCTCCTTACTATTATAATTTTTTCTCCACTTCTTTTGTATGTTTGTCCCTCTCTTGTGAACTTCTATTTCCGGGGTGTCTTTATAGTCGAAGTAGACTTTTTGCTGTTAAAGCTGGAGAGGTGAGCAGAGTAAGCTTGATTCCCTGTTTGGACTTCTCTGGTGACATCCACCCCTTGGCGCTCATATGACCTAATGCAGTTGCGAGCGCCGTAAAACCTTACTGAAACAGCTACCGTACAGAGAGTAGGATATTTCATTAGCAGCTTCCAGGCTCAATTAAATGTGTCATGACACAGTAGAATTGGGCGCTGGTCAATTTTGGGCGTTTGGAATTATCTGTGTGATCTTGAAACTTGTACTTTTGTCTTACTTTTGATGAAAAAAAATTGCCCATCTATCTTGAATAGAAGTAGAGATGTTTTTGATTGAAGGAGGTGGGGTTGTCTGGTGTCAGAAGAGAAAATGGCGAACAGAGCTTGGTGACTGCCAAAGAAGACATCATTCATAAAAATAAGTTGCAGAGTTTATAACTAATTGTATCACAACATCTGAAAATGATAATGATAAAGTTAAATTTATTTTATGAACCCCAATTTTGAAGCTGTAAGGACAAGAGATACAGCTCATAATCTAAATGGAGAAGAGTAGAGTGGATGCTGGAATACTAGCATTAAGCCATTTTGTCATAAAGCATTTCACTAGTTTTCTTGTAGTCTACAACTCATTTTCTGTCTTTTCAGGTCAGAACTTTAACTACGACCCGTTTGATTGGGAGGTCGTCGGGAGAAACCTGTTTGCCATGTTCATGGTAGGAATCTTCTTCAACATTCTCAACTGGCTGATCGAGTACAAGTTTTTCCTGTCTTGGGCGTAAGTCAACAAAAGTGCAGACAGCGAGACATTAAATAAGGATTTACCCCCCCCCACCCCCCGGGGCAGTGCCACTGACTGTAGTGTCTTTAGGCCATTCCCAAAGGGGGGACATTTCTCGTTCAAGCATAGTAGAATTGTAAATGGGCTGACTCATGTGACGCTCTTAACTGTGCCTGATCTACAACAGGGAACTGCTGCTTTTTCTTTCCTGATCCTTACTAACTATTGTCATTTTCCTCTACTTCTTTTGTATGTTTGTCACTCTCTTGTGACCTGCTATTTCCGGAGTGCCTTGATAGTCGAAGCAGACCTTGTGCTGTTGAAGCTAGAGAGATGAGCAGTCTAAGTCTGATTCCCTGTAAAGACTTCTCTGTTGACACCCACCCCTTGGCACTCACATGACCTTATGCAGTTGCAAGCGCCGTAAAACCCTCTACTAAAAAAATATAAATAAATAAGGATTAACTCTTTTAGCCCCTGGATGCTGGGGGTGTCCGGCGGTAATAATCCTGTTCTCCGTCGAAATGGTGGAAAAAACTCGGAGTCTAGAGAGTTAAGATAAGATAAGATAAGATAAGATACACCTTTATTGTCCAGATCCTGGCACATTGGTTTGGTGTTTCACCACACACACATACACACACACACCCACACACCCACACACACACACACACACACACATATATACTCATACTCACACACACGCAAGTGCACGCACGCATACACACGCACACACATTCACACACACACACATGCACACACACACACATACACACACAAACATGCACACACACGCATATGCATGCACTCCCTCACACATCCTCTCTTTCACACACATCTGTGCCCATAAACATAATACTGTAGCATGCATGCACTCACAAACAGGCTCAAAGTCACATGCATGATATAAATGAACAGTAATTATAAACCTTAATAGTGTTAAGCTGTATGTCATAGTCTGTCTGTGTTGGGTTTTTTTTTTCTGGAAGTGCAATTTTTTCCCCTTGAATTGTTATCTCTAGAAAAAGAGGCTGCACTGTATCCTATGTTTGCAGTGTTGCTTGCTAAGAGGTTTGCTGTTTCGATGTGTCTTGATGATATTTTTGCATATCTCTCGTCAGATTCCTGGCTAGGAAGCCCGTTAAGAAGTCCAACACCCTGGACGTAGATGTGGCGAGAGAGAAGGAGAGAGTTCTTTCTGGGGGAGCGGCAAATGACGTCATGCGACTGGAAGGACTCACAAAGGTGAAGGGTCACTGTGGGGAAATTGTCTAATTGTCCGATCTATAATTGAAGGCCTTCCTCCTAGAATGTTAGTGGTTTCAGTGGCCTAGCGGTTTAGCCGTTGGGCCTGCGATTGTAAGGTTGTGAGTTTGAATGATGTCAGAGACCCGTCATTGTGTCCTTACGAAAGCCACTTGACACGAATGTCTAATAGTCCTTATCTCTCCTCCTTTTGGGATGGTTACTGTCTTGTAATACTTCTAATCTTCGGCACATATATGACTCTATTGTGTTGCAAGTTCCGTAAAACTCTAACTAAAACAAACAAATTTATGATGGTGTCCTTTATCTGTTCTGACTGGGTCTGTAAACTTTACAGGGTGAATATCACTTCTTATTGTGTTGCAAGTGCCGTAAAACTGTTACTGAACTAAAACTGTTATTAAACTAAAACTGTTACTGAACTAATAACTGTTACTAAACTAAAACTGTTATATAAATTAAACAAAAACTGTTACTGAACTAAAACTGTTTTTAAACTAAAACTGTTTTTAAACTAAAACTGTTATTAAACTAAAACTGTTATATAAATTAAACTAAAACTTACTGAACTAAAACTGTTATTAAACTAAAACTGTTATTAAACTAAAACTGTTACTAAACTAAAACTGTTAATAAACTAAAACTGTTATTAAACTAAAACTGTTACTAAACTAAAACTCTTTTTAAGACTTACAAAACCTTCCTCCAACAGGTGTACTCGACCCCAGGCAGGAAGGGTAAGATGACCGCTGTTGACCAACTGTACGTGGGTGTGCCCAAAGGTCAGTGCTTCGGCCTGTTGGGGGTCAACGGAGCGGGAAAGACCACGACCTTCAAGATGTTGACAGGAGACGAGGGAGTCACGAAGGGAGATGCCTTCATCAACCAGTACAGGTACTGAGGTTTCTCATTTATCCAGGTTTGGGTGGTAAGATAGATCGTCATCATCATCATAATCATCATCATCATCATCATAATCATCATCATCATCATCATCATCATCATCATCATCATCATCAAGATGGTATCAGAACTTTGTGAATGAAGAGCTCAACCCATGTTGCCGAAGATGCAACCATGAAAAGGAAGATACACATACGGTTGAATGTCCAGGAAAAATGGCAAGTCGAATGGAGTTATTTGGACGAGTATTTGGACGAGTGGAGGTGCCTTCGAGTATAATGACAATGGAGCCGAAAAAGAGCCTCGCTCTTGCTCGAAGATTTCTACGTGGAGTCCACCAGGCCCATTAAGGAAACAAAAAAAAAAGAAGAAATCATCATCATCCAGAGCCAGATCTGCTGCAGACATCGGTGGTTATGGTTCTCCATTCATTCCTTTGCTAGGATGCTCTTAAAAAGTTACGTTACCCTGATCTTTCCCTGTTACTCTTTTGTTAAGGTTCTTGAAGTAGGTTTCTCTGGGCCTACCCCTGCTTCATTTGCCTTCAATTTTGCCAGTGAGAGCTAGATGTTCAAGAACTTTTATGTCTAGTTAAGATAGATAAGATGATAATTTATTGAGCTTCACACAGAGGAATTTGTTGCGACATGGTTGTATAGACCCATAAGCATTTGTCAACACATTTAGGCACACACATACAAACACACACACACACAAGCACGCTTACACAAACACAGACACACACACAGACACACATACATGCACACACACACACACACACACACACACACACACACACACACACACACACACACACACACACATACATACATACATACTCATACCAATACCCACACACACACACACACTCATACACACACACACATCTAACGCTTCAAATCTTCAGCACTTAAATTATATAACTTATTTGTTTTGCAAGTCCAGTAAAACTTTTACTAAAACCAAAATGAAACCCCTCTAATCTTTGGCACTTATATGACCTAATTGCGTTGCAAGTGCCATAAAACTCTTACTTATACTAAAACGAAACACCTCTAATCTTTAGCATTTATACGACCGTATCATGTTTCAAGTGCCTTAAAATTCTTACTTAAACTTAAATGAAACACCTCTAAGCTTCGGCTTTTGTACGACCTAATTGTGTTGCAAGTGCCGTAAAACCTTGACTACAACTAAACAAAAAAATCTCATGTTGTTCCCCAGCATCCGCTCCCACATGGTCCAGGTGCGACAGTTCATGGGTTACTGCCCTCAGTTTGACGCGCTTGACCCTCTGTTGACCGGTCGCGAACATCTCGAGTTCTACGCGCGGGTCCGAGGCATTTCTTACCGAGAGGTCAAGTCTGTGAGTATCACATGCAATATGTTACCGATCTTTTGCCTCTGTTTTGTGTTCGAGTTTAAATGTCTCAGGGGCCAAGTAGACCTCTTGTTCTATTCATGAGTATATTAGCTTACTCTGCTTGTTCTTTCTCCTGCTCTTCCTTCTTCTTCTTCCTTCCTTCTTTCTCCCTTCTTCCTCTTCTACTTTAAGTCTTGATTTTTAAACAGCATGCTTCATGCAGTAGCTTTTCCTGAGTGGTAGATATAGAGGAAGTATATTGCCAAAAATAAACTTACGTAAAAAGCAAGCCTTCCAGATTTCAGTGCTGTTTGATCGCTATCATTCTGCCTGGCTAGAATCTACTAGTTAACGTTGCTGTCTGTCTGTCTGTCTGTTCCAACAAAATTTTGTGAATGATGATGCATCAAAGCCACATCTATATCTCCAGGTGGCCAACTGGGCTATCTCCAGACTGGGGCTGACTCGCTACGCCGACAAGATATCCAGCAGTTACAGCGGTGGGAACAAACGTAAACTCTCCACAGCCATCGCGCTCATTGGGAACCCACCCATCATCTTCCTGGTCAGTTGTGCCCCTTACTCTTTCTCTCCCACTACTCATTTAGAACCTGTGCGAGCTCCGTTAAACTCTCTACTAATAAAAACCAAACCCCCCCCCCCAAAAAAAACAAAAAAAACAACAACAAAAACAGTGCTTGAGTTATTGTTCTGTTTTATAAGCAAATGACCAGCAAGTACATTCATGCGTGAGTTTTAGTTATTCACTAAGTAATTTTCTACCCTCAGCACATTTAGTTGAAAATGTGCATAAGTTAGCATTTTCATTGCCAGAAAGGTCAATTTTAAGGTTCAGCAAAGAATGGAAATAACATTAATAATATATGACATTATTATAGTTAAAGGTATTCAACCCCGATTAAAGTACACAGGTGCTTTACAAATCAATACTACAGTAACATAAAACACTGTGTTCTGACCAAAAGAAAATCTCCCTAAATATTCATCTTACCAATTTAAAAATAGAAATGACTTCAGCTGACATTTGAATGAATCAAATCTCTCTTAAAGTACTTGGTAAAGTATTTGATATGTTGTTGTACTGGCAAGCAAGTTTTTAAACATTAATGGGGGAAACAAGCGGAAACAATAATGCAGCAATCTGCAGTCAGTAGATATGGCGAATTGTGAGAGATGAAAGAACTGACTGTCACCCCTGAGTTGTATGTGTGAGTTCGTATCCATAAACTGTGTCTGAATGTGTTTTTCCAAGGATGAACCCACAACTGGCATGGACCCGAAGGCTCGCAGGTTTTTGTGGAACTGCATCAACAGTATCGTCAAGGCCGGCCGCTCCGTCATCCTCACATCCCACAGGTAGGACCGCATTCTGTCTTCTCATGTTATGTGAGGCAGCGTGGTGAAATCAGGTGCTTGTCAAAATAATGAAATCAAAGATACCAACTTTTTTTTCGATGTTGACAATGTTTTTGGGCTCAACACCTTTTATGTCTTTTTAAAAACGCATTTCTGTGTGAATGTTATTGAAAAACGTTCATTAAAGCACAATTAATGTAAATTTCCAGTTTCCAAGGACACTCAAACATTGGAAGTCACCAAACTTTGGTGGCCATTTTCTTACTAATTTTACCTAATATACCAGGCGACCCCCCCACCTCCTTCAATTACAAATATCTCGACTGCTATTCGAGATAAATAGGTGGGGCTTTTTTTGCCCAGTGCAAGACAAATGAACAAGCTTTAGAAGGGTATAACTAACAGTATATTCCCCCAAAGTTGATGAGTGGCAGATTCCACTGTGGCAGGACGCATGTTGAAGAGACAACTGAACCTGCAAGAGGTTGGATCATTAAAGGAGTCTTTGAATAGTTGTATTTATATAGGTTTGGAAATGACCCAAGATGTGTGTGTGTGTGTGTGTGTTGTAAAATGGTCACACTATGTACATTTTGTCTTATGATTTGTCAGTTATAAATCTGCACTGCAAAGCGCTTACAGCCTTTTTAGCGATTAGGAGTTACACAAGTTCAGATTATTGTAGATTATCATTAAATTACATTGATAGGGGTGTAAAAATCATTTACAATCATGTACAATCATTGAAATCATTTACAATAATGTGCAATCATATACTATCATTGAGCCGGGCCTAAAGCAGTTATTTGTGTGTCGGCAGCATGGAGGAGTGTGAAGCTCTCTGTTCCCGTCTGGCCATCATGGTCAACGGAACGTTCAAATGTCTGGGCAGCACACAGCACCTCAAGAACAGGTAGGTGGTGGTCACTTTTCCTTGTGGC